CTTCCTCTGAAGTGTCCTGGGCCCTCATGTCAGGTTGTTCACCTTACAACAAAGACGTGTTTTCCTTGTGTTTACTTCCCTACATTTCCCTATTTTAGTGGGCTTAAGAAACACTGACCTGTTTGTTCAGGTGTGTGAGACCCAATACGCTTCCTTTTAATTTTTAAGAAATACCGGTACAAATTCAAAATCTCATCCTGTACAAATTCAAAATCTCATCCTGAAGATGACAAATTCAAAGTATCATCCTAAAGATGACACATTTTACCACAGAGAATCTACCTGAAACAGTCACTTTCTACTCCCCACACTTGCAGATAAAATGGTGTGAGGCTGTACTATCAAACCAAGGCAAATTGCTGTTCTTAAAGGTCTGAAAAATTCAAAAGCATATACATTAATAAAAGAAATGGCGGCAGAGATGGTGTGTTCCTTCCTTGTACAAAAAGCAGCTACACGTCAAAACACATGTTCCGAAAACAGCAGCAAAGAACTGTTCATAAAAAATGAAGGTAGTCCTTGCGGTCCCCTGAGGATCCTTTAAGATTGCCCGTCCTGAAGCACAGAAAATAGGCACTGTAGTAAAAATAAAGCAATGTACCTATCTGCAGAGTCCTGAGTGAGCACAGATCTATCTCAGAGCTCTGGTATTGCAGTCAGGATGCTGGCACTTACCAGTAGTGACAATAAAATACACAGAGTAGTTTAATAACTTCACATACAAATCAGCAAGTTTTGTGCTCTGACTGAAAAAAAAAAAAATCACTGTGCATTTTTAAAAATATAAACCAGTACTCATTAAAAAGTAACTTCTTTTTACTTTCTTTTTTCGCTTGCGTAGACCTAAGTTCATAGTTCCATGCCTGTATCTACTGCAATAGATAAAGGATCAAATTCATGCTTGAGGGAGGGTTGAAATAACGGAAGAAGGAGCTCGTTCCAGGCACTGACCTATCGCTGGAGTGCTGGAAAGGGTCGGGAGCGGCGTACTGTCTGTGCCTACTCTGCGGCTGGCTGCCTGTTATCATCAGTATCAACAGAACGAAAAACACGCTTCTGGTCCTGCCTGTATCAAGAGTCATCCTCACGAGATTCGTACCGCAGTCCCAAACGTGGTACCACACGCATGGGACTCTTGCTCGTGAATTTATTCTCACTCACTATAATCTTTCTATCTCTCAGCTGTTCAACCTTTAATTTGTACTGTGTAAGAGTGATTTCTTCTTGCTCCAAGACACCAGACTTCTCTTTTTCGAATGAGTGATGCCAACCGTACCCAGAATGACGACACTGCCGGCGGAGCCGTGCACTCCTCCTATGGCTGCGGCACCAATTCCAGAGGTGTTCCCTGGCACCACTATTTAGAGTTACATCCCCCGTGGGTGCCTGCTCCTCCCTGGCAAGTCAGCAGTTCTCACGAGACAAAAAATCACTTCCCGAGACAAAATACAACTGGGGGGACTTGGAGGTAAAAGGAAATAACCACAGCTTATTGGTACAGAAACACCCAGGCTGACAGGCTGGCTGCAGATCGAAACAGCAGGCTTCTTTCCCTCCCTCCCACCCTGAAGACTAGCTCAGAGTCTCCTTGCCTTCTAGAACCTCAGTGCTGGTGTCACAACGTCCTCCGTGAGCAAGAAAGCATGTTCATCCCATCTCTGCACCATCAAGGGCTCCTAGGCTCACTGCCACCAGGAGCGATAGCGGCAGAAAGGATCACGAGCTCATCCTGGAGGCTGCAGAACCGTGCTACAGAGGATGCCATTTAGGGATACACCACATGCATTCCAACCAAATCACAGATCTCGCCAGCTGAACTCTGCCTCAAAACCAAGGAACCCGTCTGGCTAACCCTTTTGCTGCTAATGGAGAGGGGCAAGCATAAGGA